CAATTATTTATTTTTTATGATTGATTTTTTCGAGCAAGGATCGATAACTTGAATGAATATATCTGACTGAATCACTATTCAAAGTCAAGCACTGTATAAAGATTATCTGCACTACTTAATTAATATCTGCTATATCTCCTATACCTTCTATATCTCCTATATCTCCTATACCTCCTATATCTCCTATACCTCCTATACCTCCTATACCTCCTACATCTCCTATACCTCCTATATCTCCTATACCTCCTATATCTCCTATACCTCCTATATCTCCTATATCTCCTATACCTCCTATATCTCCTATATCTCCTATACCTCCTATATCTCCTATATCTCCTATACCTCCTATATCTCCTATACCTCCTATACCTCCTATATCTCCTATACCTCCTATATCTCCTATACCTCCTATATCTCCTATACCTCCTATACTCCCTATATCTCCTATACCTCCTATACCTCCTATATCTCCTATATCTCCTATACCTCCTATATCTCCTATACCTCCTATACCTCCTATATCTCCTATACCTCCTATACCTCTATACCTCCTATACCTCTATACCTCCTATACCTCTTACCCTAGGACATAATCGAGTTTCCGGGGATATTCTTAGAAGACATCATATGTCTCCAGTAGTATTTTATAACAATAAGAGATAAACTCAAATAATTTTGTTTTTGTTTGATAACTCATTTTTTTCCCAGAAAAAGATCTTTATCAAAGAAGGAAAAGTTTCCTTTGAACAAAATTTAGCTTATTTCATTAAATTTCTCTGCTTTGGTGAGGATTTTTTTACTTGATGTATGTCTCAAGACTAACGAAGAAAGAAAATAAAAAAAAAAAAAATACGAGAGTTACTAGACCTCAGTGTCTTTTGCTAAATAAAGAAAAAAGAATAAACTTTTTCAGCCAAATTAGCTGAATACCATTAGACATACGATAGATACCCAAAATGGATGTTATAAATATACTAAAATTGCTCTAACTCCAACTAAGAACAACATATAAAGCACAAGTTTCTTTTTATGTATAACTAAGCATTCTCAATCTTTGCACAAAGTTTCAGCTCAATAGGGTTCTTTATTAACGAAAAGATTATCACTGCCGATTAATAGTCATTCTTTTTCTCGTACTTTCTCTTTGTTGTTTTATCTTTCGAAGAAATTTCTTTTTCAAAAATGATAAACGCTAACAATCTCGAACAACGAAATATTACTGAAACATTTATAGACAAAAAATTATTATATCAGTTATCTGGCATAATATTATTAGATCACTGCTTGCAAAAATACTTTGCAGAAACTGACATCAAAACCACTGCATGTAATAGACGATATACTGGTTGCAATTCTTGCAATAATTGTTCAACGATATGACGTTCTTCAGTATTTGTTGTTAAATCAGTTTTATCAATTAAACTTTAGCGAAGAAAAATAAAAGAAGATTTATTTAAATAGGATAAAAAACAAATAATTCAGAACAATAAGAAGATTCATTCATTCTTTTTTCAACAACGATTCATTGAACTGATTCGGTCATGCATAAGTGTCTTTAATCAAAACATGAAATTTTTCTCTCTCTCTCTCTCACATTTTAGTTTTTATTTGAGTGAATCGGTAACGTGAAGATATTATTCGACATAACGTATAAATATTTACAAACAGAATTTTAAGGTCCTCCCTCAAAATTGATCTTAGTCCAGAAACATTTCAATTACAAGCAGTTTTCAGGATATGTTGCAGTTGTAGTGGAGAGACTATGGTGAAATTCTAAGTCCTATGCCATAATATTTTCGAGAGTTATTCATCTAACCAGAGTCAAAAAAATAGCTGATTTGGTAACCTAAAATTGTCTCTGGGCCTTTATTCTATAGACTTAATTTTTTTTTACTTGAATGAAAGAGCATGTATGGATGCACGGCATGAAGAACCCCTTAGTTTTTAAATTGTTACTTTTTAAGGGAAGAACAAGAATGGAAAGTTCAATATTTCGAACAACTCCCAAAAAATAGCGCACTAATTATAAAAGTACTCTTATATGTAATAGTAATAAAGCTTAATTCAAACATCGGGCTTCGTCATGCTCTGCATCTTGACATGGTCTGTCAAGCAAAAAGAAATGCCATTGCCTACAATGAAGTTCCTTCGAGAATTTCGGTATGCACGGTCAGAATAACACAAACAGAGAAAAAGCGAAAAAGATTTTACAGTTTATCTGAAAAATCGTTCACAGAGTTCGTATACGGCTTCCTTTGTATTCAGTATCTCGCTGTAAGCAGCCGTATTTCTCTATATGCGATTCAGTGAAATACGGCCGTCATACTAAGTCATCAAATATAGTAAAATACAGCCGTATATAATGAAATATTGAGTGTATACGGATTTGGTATTCTTCATCTTAGTATGCTAATCTTCGATTAACTTGAGTACTAATGAATAGATGCTCTTTTTTGTTATTCTATGCAGTCATTTAGAACATAGTTATAATATGGTATCTATGTTATTCCAGACTGGCAGATATTGATAGATTTTCCAGTTTCTAGACCCTATCCTTACAATCTAGAGAATATATAATTAAAAAGTTTCAAAAGCAAAACATCAAGATATCCGCAACTCGAATTCCAGGATAAGTAAGATTTAGAGTCAAGTTAGAACTATTCTATATATATGAGATTCCTACAGCTTCTATTTAGCATCGTTTATTATATATCTTTCCTTTTTCTTGTATCATAGAGCTGTTGACTCTTATTATCTGATGTTTCAAAGAAGATCTTATTTGAATTAGAAATAACTGATTGACTTGAAGAACTATTGAAGAAAGTTCTAGTTAACTAATAAGATTTCGCTTGACATTTACAAAACTATATTTATTATTAAAACTAAGAGACAAATAGATTATTACATTTTAGAGACATGATTGAATATAAGTATTATATGATAATTTTGCTTATGTAAATATAGAAATGCATTGAGAAAACAACCTTAAGTTTAAAGAAACTATAATTCTTGAATTAGTCAAGTTTAAAATGAACTATCAGAAATAACTCATAAGAAGAATAATACAGAAAGTAGAAAACAAAGTTTTTATTTTTTCTAAAGAATTGTATGACTTGAGAAAAATACAGAAAATATTCGAATGTATTTTTCATCAAACTCTACTATTGATTAATATTATATAATAAGAAGATTGAGAATAGAATATAATATTTAAGAATAAGATAGATTGATTAAATGACACAATTAAATATTTAATATTATATTCAAAGGAATAGCTAATTGCATAGTTCTTAGAAGATTCTATTTTTGGTTAACTCAAAAACTTCTGTTTATATTTGTCTGAAAGATTCTTTACTTCTTGTCATTTGTATTTATCTAAGTAAATAGTATTGTTTTATGTTAATTAGAAAAAGAACTGAAAATGTCATCGAACAAATATCCTGTCAACATTTTTTGACCAGTTATAAATGCATTATAATAACGTATTACAATGTAAAAGAATTTATTAATTTATAAACAAAAAAAATGACATAGTTTTATTAATTTTTAGTCATTGATGGTTTATATTTTTGAAATGCACAATCAAATTGTAATTTTTTTTCTTTGACAAGTTTATTTGTAAATTCTGTCCAAGTCCATTTAAATGTTGAGAAAATGTTTTTTTTTTTGTATCATAATATTATTTAAATATATTATACACAAATTATCTTCATCAGTTGGTTCTCGTATACGTTTTACCTCAAATAAAGTCCATGGTAAAATAAGTACTTCTTCTTCATCTTCATATTCACTTAAACATGGTTTATCATTTGATACTCTGCTTAGATTAATAGCTTGATCACATGTATTAGGAAAATCAAATACTAATAAAACACAGAATTTTTTTTCATTATCTTTCTTTTCTAAACATGCAAATTCTTCTGCAATAGAACGATTCACAGATGTTGAAGAAAATGTACGTGTTTGTAAAACTGTTCCTGGTTTTTCCATAGCTTTTTGATATATTAATAATTCTTCATATGTCATCTTCATACCACGATAAACACATCCTCTGAAAAATCGATCTTTTAATTTTGGTAAATGTATAAATAATGGTATAGCTAATGGTAAACAATCTTTTTTTAATATTCGATAAAAATGTGTTTCAAGTGTATATAAATGGAGTAATTGTTCAATTGCATTATCATTGTGTTTATATTGTTTTATTAAATCATTTATTTTTATATAATCCTCGGCATCATTTATTTTACTTTCTTCTAATAAATTATTCAAACGTATTAAGATTGAATGATGATCTAATGGTTCATCATTATGAAAATGATTAACACAAAAACGGCAAAAGCTTGATTGACACATAGCTTTGGAACTTGCAGAATATTCCATCTCATGTTTTTGTTCTTGCTCGTTTTTATATGTTTGTATAGTAGGTATTCTTGCAGTAGTTGTTGGTTTTTTATCATCAATATGATCACGACTACCATCTAGATTCTCTTCAACCTTAAATACATCAAAACATTCTGATGCATTTTGTTCAACAAATCGTGAAGAACCTTTTGTTGATGAATCAGTTTCATTTTGACGAAGAAATAATAGACGTGTAGATTCTTTACTTGATGATGCCATGTCATAAGCACTTTGATTTTGTAAATTAAGAAGTGATGATCGATAACAACCATGTTTAAGTAAAAGTTTAACAATATTATCATGACCATTTGCAGCAGCAATATGTAAACATGTATTTCCATTAAATGAATATTCTTGTCGATTTAAATCAGTATGAGAATATTTTTGTAAAAGATTTTGAACTGCTTCTTCATTTCCATCACGACATGCTTCATACAAAGGAGTTATGGAATTAAAAGATGTTAGAGCTGGTATAGAATGTTTAGGCGATACACTATGTGTATTCCCCATACGCAATACTGACATATACAAATGAATAGAAAATAGCTATGCTCGAATGCACAACGAATTACGTTTTGCTATTGGATATAAATATATCATATGCATCAGTCATCATTGCACAGTGAAAATATTTTTTTGCACTATGAGTCAACATCGATAGGATAATAATATGTGTCGATAATAGGTGTAATACGGTAAAATCGATGCGATTAATGACAAAACAATTGTTTATCTCCAATTAAACCGTAAATACGATTAATTATATGACGGCGAGGTTCGTAAAATTACGTTTTCAAAATTTGAATAGAAGGCGAAGTCGAATGATACTAAAAAAAGATCTTTTCAATACTTGTTGTGTTCTAACATAGATGACACTGGCAATAACATTGCATCATTAAGTCAAGCCTAATTACGAGAAACGTAATCGTCAATAATTTTCAACGTATACCATGTCAACAATAGATTTTTAATTTATTGGTTCTAAAAAATAAGTTCGCCGCCAAAGCGTTAAAGTACAATTGAAAATTTTGATAAATAAATAAAAACTATAGTCCTTTGGTCTCAAATTCAGGTTGACGAATGCTTTGCTTAATCATTTTGCTTGAAACGAATTTTTATTATTTTACCATTATACCTGGATTTTGCTAGAGGATACTATAGACTATATAATAGTATAATATTACTAAAAGATTATGAAACGGAATTTACGAAAAGATTGAAAGATAATATGTGTGGAAAAAAGTGTGACATGAGCTTTTCAAATTTATATATTTCTTGTAGATGACAATGAATTTATATAGAAACATAACATCTTTAATGACTATTAAGCACATTAATTATCAAGTCTAGAAATTTTGTTCTTGATATTTGTATTTAATGAAAATTATTCAATATTATCGTCTTCCTCTATATTGATAGCAATATCTTCATCTTCTTTTGTAGTCGACTTCTTCTTGATTCTTTGCGTTCTTAAATATATTGTACAGGTTCCCTTGACAAAGGATCATTGTTGACATGTTATTCCAGTATCTATAAGTATACTTCTTTTTCTGATTATCTCATCCAGCACTTGTCATTCTCAATATCTTCACTATTAGATATTCAGTTTGAGAATCAATATCCATTTCTTTTTTAACCAAGTGAATAAGAACAAATATTAAATTGCCAATTAGAAAATGAGAGCTAATTACTATGCACAAGTAAATATTCAAACAAGAAAAATGTAAGACATAGATGATATTAATGTAAGAAATACCTGACAAAACAAGAGTCATTAGTGCATATAATGATTTGTCACTGCTATTTATTAATAGCTATTGCCTTTTAAAATATAGTTAATTTTACCCAATCGTACCCTCTATATGACCATATCTCTGGTACATAATAAATATCTGTTATTACAGACAAATAATTGAAAAATGCAAAGAACATCAAAATTGATAAAAATCAACATTTCAACCTGAATTTGAAATCAAATGAGTGTAATTAATTATCATTTCTTTCTGATTCATTGCATTTTTTGTATAGATGAATTGATGGATATGTTATACTACACTATTCATAGACTAAATATAACCATCCTTTCCAATATTTATATTCATTGAATACCATTAGTTTATTCATATCTTTG